GGACAAGTTGTGGCCTGAGCATTCGCCATGGCAGTCCTAGTTTCAAGACAGACTCTAGTGCAGTTGCCCAGTCATTTAATGTAATGAATCCTGTATAGAAGAGTTAAACAATGTAATTATGTCTTGAAATCTAAAATCCATCTTCTGCCTCCACCTGGCACAGCCTGTGCTTTGAAAACTCCAGCATTTGGCAGCTTAATGTTTCCACTGTTCTCAACATGATCTTTCCCATTTGTTTGATTGACATAAAGATACTGTAGAATTAGAAGATCAGTTTCTGAGTATCAACACTTGTGTCTCAGGACAACGGGCTTGCCTGGGCGAGGAACCACCACTAGCAGTCTACTGAAAATAGGAATAAGAAGAATTGGCCAATGGATCAGAAGTTTAAAGATTTAGGATGGTCTCTTAGTCTGTGACACCAACTGTCAAATATGGGGGAGGAAACCTGATGGTTTGGGGTGCTCACGCCCTTTTCTGCATCTCTCACTTAGTCAAACATAAGGGGAACTCTAAATCAGATCACCCAAATCCTGGACGCGCCAAATGAACCTGATAAGCATCCCTCTGAATACTTGAGGTACCTGCAATCCACCGTAGTTAAGGATTTCAACAGGAATTTTCCACAGGTAAATTTTAAAGTAGAAAATGTGCATGTGTATATTCATTTCCACATTGAATTTTAAATATTTCTGCCCTGCTCCTAATAAAGTATGTGTGAACCCTCACTTTGTAAAGCAACCCATTCAGTTTAAAATAGTAATAAAAGGCAAAACATTTGTGTATACATGAAAAAAAATCATAAATACGGTACATTTTTCTTCTTTAATTTTAAAGGGATCACATAATCTCTCTTCTCAGCTGAATTAAGAGGCTTAGTGAGGTTGAAGTGGGAAGGCAGCAGTACACTTATCTTCCCAGTGAATGGTTGTGCAGGAGGGGGCATGTCAGCAGAAGTGTGACCATTGGAGGACAGACAAGACAGACTGTTCTTTGTTCAGAAAACTGACCAGGCTGGGATGGACGTGCTCTCATGCCTAGTGTGGTCAGTTTGAAATAGGAACAGGATGACTGCTAGGATCACCAGGGATTTCACACAAAAGAAGCAATGCAGAGAACAGACTGCTTTTTAATAAAAGTACATGGTACAGCAGGCACATATCAGGAATATGAAATGGGGGGTAACATATCCTTTAATCTACATTATTTTAAAATTTTAATGCTTACTTTTTGAAGAATCCCTACATGTTTACTTCCTTGAGTGCAATGCCATATATTGACTATGCTTTGTGACTATGCAGTATTGTGTCACAAGTTTCACAGAGTCTGCCTTCTGAACTACAGAGGTGGAAAATTTTGTTACACTACATCATGTCACATTTATTGCAGCCCAATCAGATTTTAGCTTAGGCTTCCAGGAGATGAATCCTTTAGGGCTCATTCACACTTGGGGCAGCCTTTGCCACCCCACTGAAAAGCAATCTGCAGTGGATCGCATCTCAGAGGGAACTTGACAAGCAGCTGTAGAACAATATGCTTCCTCCTCACCTCCTGTTTTAACCCAGAAAACCTGCACCACCACTTTCAGTGAGGCCTGATTCACTTAAAGGGGTCAAACCAAATCATGTGCGCAGCCCTGAACGGCACATGTTCTCATACCCCCTGTTTTTATAGTCCCACCCCCTTTACTTTAAAGTGGAAGTTAACCCATAACAACTTGACAAAAAATAATATTCCTTAGCTTTTAAAAAACAGTCAATCACCTTTCCCTCGATTCAATGTGTCTTCCCCGCAGCCTGTTTCACCAGCCGTCCTAAGTTCCCACCGCCGGCATCCTCAGTTTTCAGCTTGCGGCTTCACAGTCGGGTGCCCACTGCACATGCGCGAGTAGCACTGCACTTAATGGTCTTGAAGTCTTCTGGGACCTGCGTCGTGTCCCAGAAGACTATGTGGAGGGAGGGTTGGAGGACAACTTCCACTTCCAATTGCCTAGGCAAAATTGACAGGTGTCCACTCCCCAAAGGTGCCAATCCTTAACGGAACGGGGGACCAGTCCCTAAAGTGGAACTTTCCCCTTTTGGCTGGAACTCCGCTTTAATGTCTTACATAGCTATAGCTGCAAACAGGGCCAGCACAAAGTGATCTAGCAGAACTTAATTTTCTAAATAAATCTGTGTTTTATATACCAACTAGCAGCAAGAATATCATATGTGATCTGGGCACGACTGCCTATTCTTTACACATTTTCTGTTCATTCAACTTCTGTTCATGCTCTACATTTACCTACATTTCACAAGTTTCAGAAAATAAAAACCCTGGCATTTGAGAATCAGCTTATCCTTTTTATCCCAACCAAAAGCTAAGGCAGGGATTGGCCTCTGAAATCTCAACTGGGGGGGCCAGTTGACTAGAGTGGTGGATGTGGCCCTCCATGCTGCCCATAAAGACTGGGTCAAGTTTAAACAGGTCTTAATAGAGACCCTGCACACCTCAGTTCCATGGCTACAGCTGGAAAACTGCAAGTTTTAATCCTCCCCCTCTAATCTATGCCACTTTTAGAAACTTTCAGCTGGTTTGCACCTCACATCAGCTCTGTTCAGCTCCTGGACCCTTGACACCACTCAGATTGAACCCAGCTTTTTCTCTGGGTACGAGCTGGTCCTTCTGACTGCACATACAACCTCAGGCCTACCAATTCTTTCATCGAGGTAAGTTCATAGACAGGAAATCTCTGTAACTTTGGGTGCCCCAGTTGGCTATTCCCTTCTGGACATATATACAAAGAGAGATCAATGAGAGATACCTTGACCTTATGACAAATTGTGGTAGGACTATATAGGTGGTGAATTAGAGAAGAGAGAACGTATTAGTAATTTATTATGGAGGGCCACTCAGGCTGCTAGTCTTGTGGGATGCTGAGCTTTTTGTGCAGCCAATGACATATGCATGGTTTTGAGGGAAGTCTGAATAAAATAAGGATGATGGTCCTCTTTCACCCCCAGTTACATTAAGTGAGTATTTCTCATTAGGATGATTAGAAAGGGTTTTTTTCTCATCCAGCAGTCCAGTTATGGGCCTGTCTTACTTGGATATACAGTAAATATGCAGGTTATAGACAGAAGTGACATCTATGTCCAGCATATTATGGTTGTTTTTGGGGTCAAGGTGCTTCTCTGTGAGTATAAAGCACATGTACATACTGTACACCTCTACTCTCTAAAAAAAAGTGAATTATACAACTAATCCTAAAAGTTGTGGACATGCATAGGGGGCATGAATGTAACACCATTATGCTTTAATAGTACTATTGATGCCTTGGATGCAGAGTTATATTTTAAACAAAAATCTTCTAAGTATGTCATATATATATAACTCCGCTAATTTTTTAATGGGACAGAGGACAGAAAGACGTTGGGTAGAGACCAGGGGCGGACTGACAACTCATGGGGCCCCCGGGCAACAGGGGATCATGGGGCCCCTGTGTCCTTGCCCACACTCAAACCACACCCAAAAAAGCCTATGAAAAGGTACAAGGGGCATCTCATGGGGCCCCCTACTGACCCCGGGCCCTCAGGCAGCGCCCGAGTGTCCAAATGGTCAGTACGCCCCTGGTAGAGACTAGACCCTTTTTAATTAACTCTGCATGAGGACCTCCCCCCAAAGGCATCAGGTCTCTGATCTACATACTATGTTCTTCACAGCCCACAAACCCAATTCAGGTAAAATGTGTGAGGCATGGGAAAAGTATCTGGATCTCCATTTAAAGGAGGAAGAATGGGAGCAGATTAACTTGCTTATTTACAAAGGATTGTGCAATGTGCATACTGTACACAAGAGCCTGCCTATAAGATTCAATCAAGACGGTATAGAGTCACCCTCACTGTGTCTTACGACTTTTTCCTACAGCATCTAAATGCTGCTGGTGCTGTATGGCAGCTGGAGGCATGTTTCTCAATGTGTGGTGGGACTGCCCAGTTATCACTCGATGGGCTGTGCCATAGACTTTTCCCCAGCTCGATATTTGTTGCATCACACAAAGTTTTCGGCTAAACATATGATTGCTATTACACATGATCAATGCTGCTCAACTATATGTCCAGTTACATTGGAGAGACACGGTTCTGTCTAGCACATGGGAATGGCTCCCTCACTCTTAAGCAGACTGGAGGAGATGGAGGAGCATTTGAATTGTAATCATCGCCTTCCCTTGAATGAAAGTCAGAAGGGGGAATAAGGGAGCAGAGGCCTGACTCCCATTCTCCGACTTCTCAATACCCTTCCTTTTCTCTCCTTCCCTCTTTCTCCCTCCCTTCCTTTTTCCCCACCCCCTGCTCTCCCAATCCCCCTCCCCATTTTTTTTTCTTCAAAACCCGGCAACTGTAGACCTGGGTACCTAAGCGAAGAGGGCTCACATGGCATCTTCTGCTGTGGAACAATATTGGTTATTTCCCAGATTTGTTGAGCGAGTTTGTTGTGTGGCTTGCAAGCTCAGCTCACCCTAAATTAAGGATATGATACCGAGGGCCCCACCCTTCTTTGTTAATACACTTTGAGGGCTTGGGTTTTCTTTTTTTTCTGTTATGTGACAATTTCTCTATTTTCCCGGGAACCTTGTGATCCAAGTTCAGTGGACACCCTGAGATGGTTTTTTGCTGCACTAACCTAACCTTATTGTAACAAGATGTTTTCTGTTGTCTGATATTCTTTTGTATATGAACAATTTCATATGAACATTTCTCAATAAAAATTGTTATGGAAAAAAACCCCCCGGCAATTATGAAGAGTTAGCCATTGGGGGAAGGCAGGTGCTCACAGTAATGGCTGGTGTGTCCACTTATTATGCACGACCCTGTACTATGTTAACCTTAATATTCAGACACAAAAAATACCAAATTCATATTTAACTTACCAGTTTGATTCTTATCATATCTTTTAAACTCATTAAGGAGAACAGATTTATGAGCAAACAGTTTTTCCCTTAAGGCCCTCAGAGCGGATTCTTCCACAGTGCTCACTCTAGAACAAAGGAGACATGGATGTTGTAAGAACTGACCCAGAGCTACATATTTCCCTGACTTGTCATTTTAAGCAAAATTCTCCTAGTCTGGTTGCAAGAAGAACTGCCTGATGCAGAACAAATGGGAAGCAATACCTTTGCCTCATGGTCAGAGTGTTGGTAGTTTTGTTTGCTTGATATTGCACAAAATGTGGGACATGGTCATGTCCCAGTTTCACGTATGCCCCTTTGTTGCTGCCAATTTCATAGTAGTTAGATGCAGAAAATATTGTTAGAACCTGAAAAAAATAAACAGGGACAAACATATTTATGTCCAAAGATTTTAAATTTGATTATATAATGTGGCGATGGCTGAAGTAATTGCCTTAATATGCAGTGTACAAATTATGCAGATGTGATCTCTGCATTTGAGAAAAAAGTATAATATAATAAAAAATTAAGTAAAATAAAAGGTAAGTCAAATGTTTCCTGCTATGCATGGGCAGTTTACCTTACCTAAATACACCAATGTGAAAAAATATGATTGACTCATGAGATTGGATTATACAAGTGTCATAGAACATATGCAGAACTTTAAAGGATCCCTTCTTTCTTGGTGTTAGGTGAACTGCATTGTCTTTCTCAAAAGAGATTGATTTTTTCCTCATTCTCAGAGGGAACAACAAAATAGCATCTGCTTTTAAATGACTGCTCTGGTTTTACACAGACTGGCATTATAAAGCTTAGGATCTACCAGAACCCCCAGATCCTTCTCCACCATTGATTCCCCCAGTTGTACTCCCCCTAGTAGTATATATGATGCATGCATATTCTTAGCCCCCAAGTGCATAACCTTACATTTAGCAACATTAAACCTCATTTGCCACATAGTTGCCCAATTAAACAGTGCATTGAGGTTGGCTTGTAAATTGAATACATTCTGTAAGGACGCTATTCCACTGCACAGCTTGGTGTCATCTGCAAAGACTTAAATGAGATTTTTAATCCCAGACCCGATATCATTGATAAATATATTAAAAAGTAAGGGTACCAACACTGAACGTTGGGTTACATCACTAACACAAAACTAAAACAACCCTAGACCATTCAGAGTATGAAACATTAACCACTGCTCTCTGAATACGGTCTTCTAACCAGTTTTCTATCCATTTACAAACTGATTTTTCCAAGCTTGTAGACTTTACCTTACACATTAGCCGTGCGTGGGAAACTGTGTCAAAGGTTGTTGCAAAATCCAAGTATACTGCTTTGTCTAAGTTTTTTCTCACCTCCTCATAAAAAGCAATCAGATTTTTTTGACAACTTCTGTCTTTCATTAATCCATGCTGTTGCTTAAAATATTTTTTTTTCCAGCAAGAACTCATCTATGTGGAGGGACTGCACAAATCTCTGACTTCAACCCTTTTAAACCACTTTAGAATGGCATTTTTTTTTTTGTCCAACATCAGTACCTGACCTCACAAATGCTCTTTTTGGCTGTAGGGAAACAAGATTCCCACAGGCACACTTCGAAATCATAGTTGGCTAAGACATACTGTGTAGGCCTGAAGGCTTTGTCAGATAACCGTTTCCCGTCCAGCCATTGCACACAAAGGTTTGGACAAGAGCAGCGCCAATGCGGATGGACATACCAGTACATCCCTCTTCATCTGCACACTCCCATGGAGCTCACAGCAGCACAATCTGTGACTGCTGTTACACCAGACTCATTGTACTGAGTTGCTGTGTGCAGCTCTGGCACCATGTGATCGCTATCGCTAAAAAATAGAAAAACTTTATGTCTTTTCCTGGCATCATTGTTTAGTACTGTATGATCTCTGTGATTGGTAACAGAGATCACATGGTACAGGGTCAATCACAGCAGTCCTGTACCACGTGATAGCTTTGGCCAATCACCGCTATCACAGTATTTCATAATGGCTGAAGGAATGCAGCCAGAGAGAGAGTGTAATGATTGCTTTTACAGCCATCATGGCTGTAAAAGCAATCAGTGTGATCACCACTATTGTGACACTGTACTGCTAGGGTGACCTATGCTTAAAAAATTAGAAAAAAATTACAAATATTGTAAATAAAAAAAGTTAAAAAGAATATATATACAGTATACGTATATATATATATATATATATATATATATATAAACACCACCACAAAACTCAGTGTCCCCGATCAGTGCCATTACAGGTTACACTGTCCCTGATTACCAACACACCAATTACAATGTCCCTGATCCCCACCACACAAGTCATATTGTCTCTACTCACCGCCACACCAGTTACAGTGTCCCTGATCACCACCATTCCACTCATACTGTCCATGATCACCACCATAACAGTTACAGTGTCTGCCTCTGCCTGCTGCCTGTACCAAAGGCTTGTTTATTGACCATGTTTCTGCCTGCTGCCTGGACCAATCCTTTGTCTGTTTGCTGACCATGTTTCTGCCAGAAGCCTTAACTGACCAGTCCCAGCTATTTCTTGTGGACAACTGCACTTCTGGGACCACAAGAACCCTTTTTTTCTTCCTTTGTTTGGCCTCCTATACTTCCTGGCCAGTAACCATGGTATTCCTGGGGCGAGCCTTGTACCAGTAAGCTAGGCTTGCTTGGCTTATAGGAAAATGGAGTGCTATAGGTGACTCTACAGTAAGCTATATTCGCTGATCACTCATACAGAGGTGGCCATTAGAGTACATTGGTTTTGAGACAATTGGTTGATTTGTGTGATATGCAAGATACAATATCTTGTACATAATCAGTCCAGACACTGAAAAAGCTTCAAACATGTGCTATCGCCATATGCGGGTGGAGTAGCAGAATGTGTTTTGGGGTGTAATGCCGTGTGTGTGAGAAATATCAAATTGAAAACTTTGTGTAAAAAAATTATTTTCATTTTCTTTCTGCATTTTCTATAAAGTTGTAGCAAAATATGAAGTCTTCAAAAGACTCACCATGCCTCTTAAAAAATACTTTGGGGTGTTTACTCTCCAAAACTTGGTCCTTTTGTGGGTGTTTCTGCTGTCCTGGTGCTCCATTTTAGAAGTGTAATTTATGCCCCTAGAAAGCCTGAAAGGTGCTCCTTGGATTTTGGGCCCCTATGTGTGGCTAGGCTGTGAAAGAGTTTCAAGTATGTGGTATCGCCACACCTGTGAGGAGTAGCAGAATGTGTTTTGGGGTGTATGCCTATGGTGTGTGTTAGAAATATCTTATTAATCGACAACTTTGTGTAAAAAAGTAAATTTTCATTTTCTTTCCTGCATTTTCCAAAAATGTATGGAAAAAATAAATTTTCAAAAGACTCACTATGTCTTTCAGAAAATACCTTGGAGTATTTGCTTTCCAAAGTGGGGCCATTTTGTGGGTGTTTCTACTGTCCTGGTGTTTCAGGACCTCCAAAAAATGTAATAGGTAGTCAGGTAATTAGTTGTGTAATTTATACTCCTGGAACGCCTAAAGGCACTCCTTGGATTTTGTGCTCCTCTAGGCATCTAGGCTGTGAAAAAGTCTCACATACATGGTATCCTCATACTGAGGAGGCACGGTAGAATGTGTTTTGGGGTGTAATTTTAAGTATTTCCATGCTGTGTGTGTGACATACATTTGTTAAAATGACAACTTTGTGAAAAAAAAAAAAAATGAATTATACTTAATTTCTGCATTTTCCAAAAATGTTGCCAAAAATTACAACTTCAAAAAACTCATCATGCCCCTTAATAAATACCTTGGACTGTCTACTTTCCAAAAATGGGCATTTGTTATTTGTACTGTCCTGGCATTTTAGGGACACAAGAAATGATATAGGCAGTCAATACATCAGGGCTGATCAATATTTAAATATATATTATATACCATAGTTTGTAGACTTTCACACAGACTACATAATATACACTGATTTGGGTTATTTTTAGCAAATAAATGTAGCAGAATACATTTTGGCCTACATTTATGAAGAAAGAGTACTTATTCGCAAAATTAAGAAAAATTAAAAAAAAAAAACAGTGGTGATTGAATACCACCAAAAAAAACTCTATCTGTCTGCAATAAATGATAAAAAATTGAATTTGGATACATTGTTGCTATCCAACTGTACTTAAATGCTGGGTGGAAAACTGAAAAGCAGCCTGGACTGGAAGGGGGTGAAAGTTTCCGGACCTGAAGTGGTTAAAAGGTTAGTTCACCTTTACTCTGTGATGTATCATCTATGTGTACAATGTTAATTGCAATGTTTGGAGATTGGCAAAAGTCAATAAAGGTGACTTAACTCTTTAATATAAATAACAATGTGCATATTCAGCCTAATATTGATAACTCCTCAACCTTTTCTAAGGGCTGCGGATGCTGCACATATACAATATGAAGTGGAGTTTTTGGTTGTTTTGTGCACTTATTAAAATCTCCTCCCAGTGTTTTCCTCTCAGTTTTAAGTTAAGTATCTGCTGTTTTTTTGGCAATTTCTTCTGAGTGGCCTTATCTTCAACAATTCTCTTGCAAAGTGGACCACCAAAGGATCCATTGCTAATCTTCTGTCTACAACCCCAGGCAAAAAGTATGGAAACACCACTCTTGGAAAATGTTCATTCAATTGTTTGTGTAGAAAAAAAAAATAATCACAGACATGCCTCAAGACTATTTTCATTTAATATTCCAACCTTCTGGCTTTAAGAAACACTTAAAAATGAAAAAAGAAAGAAAACTGTAGTCACTTGCAACTGTTTTTTTGCAGATCAAGCAGAGGAAAAAAATATGTAATCACTTCATTCTGAGGAAAATATTATAGAATCATGAAAAAAACCCACTACAATTCAGCACTAGTACTTTGTTGCACCACCTCTGGCTTTTATAACAGTTTTGAATCTCTGAGGCATGGATTTTATTTACCTAAGTCTGCCAGCATGTTTTCTTCACTGACGCCCCTTCCTGGAGAAGACCTTCCAATGGGAAACCAATAGGAAATATTCACATCACTCAGTGACATAGACACCCAAAGATAGACCCTCACACTCATGGATTTATGCAGGGCTATTTTTCAGGGGGATTGTGGGGGAACGCCGGCACCTCCAGTATTGTAGGTAATGACAAGGAGTGCTGGTGTGTGCTGGAGGGTCTATTGATGCTAACTGCTGGGGGAATCATTGTTGCTGGGGGTATCTATTGTTGAGGGAGAGGTCTATTGTTATAAAGGGGGGTCTTATGTTGTTTGAGGGGCCATTGTAGATGACAGGAATCTACTCTTAAGGAAGGGATTGTTTCTGGGGTAGATATATTGCTGCCGTGGCTGTGTTTTGTTGCAGGTTGTCTATTGTTTCTGGGGGATCTGTTGATGCTGGGGGATATTGTTGCTGGCTGCAGGGGGTCTATCTTCCTGTTTCCTAGTTATCATTAACAAATTCCATACAAATTATTTAGCATCACAAAATGATATTAGGTTCTTTTTTCTCTAATAAGGGCTGTACTGGGAGGTGAGTAAGGGGATGGAACCAAAGGGGTGGTGCTGGGTAGGATGCAATGACAAGGGGTGACTCAAAAGGGGAGAGTACATATACTGTACCTAGTTACTGAGAAAAAAAACCCCTGATTTTAAGTAAGAATTTGGGGCTTTGAAATGTTTAAAAAGTTTTTAAACTAACATGGTGCTAAGTTGGGGTAAAGGGTGGAGGAGGGGGACTGTGTGTCTGTTTATACTAGGATATGATAGTTTCTTTTTAATTACTTGCAAATAATTGTAATTTGTAATTTACCTTTCCATTGTGGCAAAACTCATATCCTTCTTGCTTACACTCATGAGAGCGGATCAACATTTGTAATCCATGTTTTCGCAGGATTTTCTCAGTTATATCAGGACCAAAGTAACATCCTCCTCCACGTACTGTGTTTGACTTGCAGCCATCTTGAGCTATAGGATCACTCCACAAAATATCTACAATCTATTCATAGGTTAAAAAGTTATCAAATACATTCACTTAGCATTATGGACTGTTTTCACAAATGCAAATAGAAATACTTTATATAGTAATTGAACAAATAATGCTACACAGTAGTCATCTAGAAAATGCCGTGTAATAAATCTGGAATAATGCTTTTATCACAATATGTCACCCCCATAGTAATTCTTTACCATTTACTGGCTTCAGATTTCGTTCAAGCATTGGCTCCTGTCAAGCTTCTTGCCTTGCTGCATAATGGTAAAACAGGCATCCAGCTTGGACCAATGTAATTATGTATATTTATTATATACCATACCTGATCGATGCTCCTGGAAGCTGGAAATCACTGAAGTAGGCACCACTACTGCAGTGGTCTTCTCTTGCTTCCAGGTCCCGTGCCAAGTGACTGCTTTCCTGGCCACTTGTCTTGCACTATTCAGAGAATGCTTTTCATTTTCTGAATGAATGCAAAGTGTTCTCTGATTGAATAGGGCAGAGGGCGTGACCTGGAAGCAAGTGGGGATCACTGACGTAGTGGTGTCCACTTTAGTGATTTCCAGCTTTCAGTAGCATTGGTCATGTATAGAATATACATAGTTACATTTATCCAAGTAGTTACATTTGTCCAAGCGTACCAATGAAACTATGTATAACATACCAATCCCTGGAATTAATCTTTACTAATATATAATATAAAAGTAGCTTGGGAAGTCAATTACTATTACTATTAGCTAGCAGCATTGTCTAGGAGTCTTGCCATTAAAGAATACCACTACTTAATACTGGTAAAGTGCAATCTTATTTAGATAATATTGCAACTATGTAATAATACACATCAGACTTCAAATCATGTGTTTCGGACTATGCTGACCTCCTATTTATATAGCTCCTTAATAAATCTGATCCATTGGTGCCAAAAGGGTACAAGTTATGGTCAGGGGTTATCTATTTTAAAAACACCACATTCATTTGATGATTTAAAGCTTTACTAAAACTATCTTCTGTTTGAAATGATTTGTAAAATAAGTGGAAATACACTACACTTACCTGCTTTCTCTCTTCATCGTCCATGTCATACTCTTGCATTTCTCCAGATTCTGAATCAGAATCAGAAATGGACACTGGACTGTCAGGCTCTGGAATGGTCTCAGTGAAACCCACTTGTCTTCGATATTTTACTAATTCTTTGTCCACAGCTTGCCGCACTCGTTTAGAGATCTCTTTTCTGTCAATTGTCATGGTGGTGGGGCTACTGGCTGATCTTTTCCCTTTATAATTGGGTAGAAGGCTTGGACTGGAGCTATAGGAAAAAGAACCACTTCTTGGGGCCTGCCAAGATGATGCCACTGTTAACGTGTTTTTCTCCATTTGTACACTTCCCCTGATCAATCTTTTCTTCTATCTTTTCTTCTGTCTTGTTTATCTTGTCTTTCTTTTTTCTAGGCCGCAAAGTAGATGCAAACTAAACAAAAGCAGTTTTAAAATCACTTATTTATATATTTCCTGTATTGTTCTATGATCATATTTTACTTTTTCTCACACTTAGATGGTACATTGTTTTAGAATGTTAATCCATTGTAAATGGAGGTGCAGGAATGAAAATCTGTTACTGGTCTATTTCAAGCCGAAATCCAGCTTAAAGTAGAAATCCGATCTAAACCTATCTTAAACCTGCTCCCACCCCAATTATAAGTCCTATACTAACTAGCCTGTAGAGAAAAGATGTCTATACTTACCTATTGTGTGGATGCTATGGTCCGATCACATATCGGCTCCCAGCACCAGCTTCATCAGTGTGGAAGAGGTATAGCAGACAATGGAAACCACATAGTAAGTCCATGGGTGAAATCACCACCAAGCCGTTGTTGGCAATCTTTCCTCTCCCCTTAAGCCAGCCACTGGGGAGATCATGTGATCGGATTGGAGTGCCCAGCGAATAGGTAAGTATACACACTTTTCCTCTACAGGCTAGTTAGTATAGGGCTTAGAATGGGGGTAGGAGCAGTTTTGGATTAGATTACATAGGTTTAGACCAGACTTCCATTTTAAGCTTTTTATTTTGTTTTAGATAGAAAGAGTGAGAGCCTCTTTTTTTATTGCTGTCTTTGTCCTTGTTGGACAGGCTTCATCGCAGGACAGAACCAGATGAGACATACAAAACATTTACAATAGATAGGGAGGGGCAATACATTCTAACAATGCACTGCACATATTTTTTTGTGTTTTTGAGCATCATTTTTTTTTAAAATTTAAAATTACACTTTTTTTCCCTCCTGACAAAGCCCCTTTTATGTGTGAAACATGTTGAGTTTTGGGGTTGGGGTGCTCACTTTTTGATGTGCTTTATATTCTCAGGGGATGCGGGGTATAATTGAAAATCAGTCTGGTGTGGGGGCACTCACTAGTATGACTAGTTTTTGGATATAAGTAAGAGAATATTTCTCTTCATGGAAAATCTATTTTGAGTACTGCTACCAGATTTTTTACCCGCTGCATCCAGGTAGGTTCATGATTTTGACTTTTGGCCAACATACTTTATTTCAGCTGTGTTAGGTTTAGGACTTAATGGGTTCTGTGCACAGATAGATTGGCACACAGCTCTTGCGCTGATTTATCACTTGTGATTCCAATAAAGCAGCATGTGATGATTATACTCTAGTTAGGTGAATTTATTGATTTATAGTTCTAAGAAGCTGAGGGACAAACTTCTCACCTCTACAGATGAAGCTAGTTGCAACCCATCAGTGAGATAACAAAGTCAGTAGGTGATTCAGATCGCCAATATATTATGTACCAAATGCAGAATTATCAGTTTAGGTGGACAAGATTAGGTTTAGGTTTATATCCATTGTCTCCAAATATTTGTAAGATTCTTTATTTGCATTAAAAAGGGTAAAAAGAAGACAGATTGGAAAAAAATGTTTGCTGGAACTGATTATAAAATGTTAGCTGGAGTTTAGCTTAAATTTGTTATTTGTATTCAAATCTGCTAATACACTTAACAGGCCCATCCCACCCCAGACTGACGATGCTGCTATCCAAATCTGCCCCTGTGCTCTTTCATCCAGAGTGGAGTGGAGAAAACTGATGTAGCCACCACATCTACTGTAATGATTTGTAAGCTGAAATATAATACATTTTTGGTTTGGGGTTTAACACTGCTTTAAGGATTATCCTCCGATATACTGAATAGTTTGGGGAACAGCAATAGCATTTTGGATCCAGTAGTTTGTAGCAAGGGTCACAGTGTGCTTAGTAGTTTGTCAGTCAATGATAAATAGAAAATTCACGTATCTTACCTTGTGTCGTTCTATTTTAGATAGTATCTGTAAATCAGTAGAATCTGACACTCCTCCATGGGTTATTAATATTTTTTGATCAATTATAGCTGCTAAAGGAAGCCAGCTAAATACACTTTGCAACATTTTGAGGATTTTCTTCCCATGAACCTTTAATGGTGAAATCAAACAAAAAAGTATAAGTAAATATTGTACTTGCATAGCAAATATGTAGCACAAACATAATTTTGCTTCTACTACTAATATTGTTATTCAGTCAATACTGTAATTTTTGTTCTTCTTCCTCTACCATTTAGTAAAAAAACTGGCATTCCACATTTTTATCTATAATCAAAAGATTCTGTAAATTTTAAATTTGGTTCCACATCAGTACTGAACACATGTCAGTCAGCTGGCCAGCCTTCTGTTAAACTGCACAATGAAAAAATAATTACCATAATTGAAAACTACCTACTGCATCCTTAAAGCTAATCTCCGGGTAGAGATAAAAGACACAGATTAATGCAGCTCTTTATTCATTAATACATTAACCGCTTCCATGCCGCCCTATAGCAGAAATACTGCTACAGGGCGGCACGGGTGCACAAAATCACACATATATATACGTGATTTTGCAATTCTGGGTGGGGGATGCGTGCTGCACCACCATTTGTGGCCTCGGCTGTCAATCACCAGGTCCCGGCCACTGATTACACGCCGTCGCCTGGTGATTTCCAAGGATCTCCGACAGGGAGGAGAACTGTTTTGTATACTAACATTTCTCCTCCCTGTCAGCTCCGGCACACTGCTTTGGATGGCTGAACACAGCACAGCCATCCAAAGCAGTGTGAGTATAGTGAATCACACTGACACAGCCCCCTAGTAAAAACACTCCCAGCACACAGTTAACCCTTTGATCACTCCTCATGTTAACCCCTTCCTGCCCAGTGCCATTAGTACAGTGTCAGAGCTTTTTTTTAGCACTGATCACTGTATTGGTGTCACTGGGGATGTCAGTGATACCAGGTCAGTTCCCCTTAGTGTCAGAATGTCTGCCGCAGTCCCGCTATAAGTCGCTGATCACCACCATTACTAGTAAAAATGAAAAAAAAATCCCAGAATATATACCACTATTTGTAAATGCTATAACTTTCACCTAAACCAACTAATTTCCACGTATTGGGATTTTTTTTTTAGCAAAGACATGTAGCAGAATACATTTTGGCCTAAATTTATAACGAAATTCGATTTTTTAATTTTTTATACTGGACATGTTTAATAGCAAAAGGTCAAAAATATTGTTTTATTTTCAAAATTGTCTGTCTTTTTTTTTTTTTGTAGCGCAAAAAATGAAAAATGCACAGGTAATCAAACACCACTGAAAGAAAGCTCAATTCGTGGGAAAAAAGGACATACATTTCATTTGGGTGCAGCGTTGCATGACCGCACAATTGTCAGTTAAAGTGACACAGCGCTGCATACATTTTACATGCATACCTTATATTTTTTCATTACTTCTTTTGTAAATCCATACCTGAAAAACATAAAATAAATGACCATTTTATTGCAAATACATCTAACCGTGGCATAAAATACTGATTTACTGTTTTGTAGACCCTACCTTAAATTGACTATATAGTCTTCATGGTTTCCTCGGTTTAAATGGACAGACTT